TTCCAATAGGGGAAGACAACACATATTGGATATGTGGGAGCAAGAGTTGGAGCGTATGAGGATGGCATAGCTTGGAGATGGTTAGGAAGTATTGTGTTGGGCCCAGGATTGGGTAAGATAAGATGCTAGCTCACCAATCAAGACCCAAGTTTTCAGGGGCAGGAATCTGACTTCGGTTGAGAGGAATCTAGAGTACAGGCAACATGACTTGTACATGGCTGGGCAGTGGCATGGTGGCCCCAAGGTTGGGTAATATAAGGTAGCATTTGAAAGATTAGAAATTTCAAAGCCAGAAATGAGCTGCAACTAGAAAGACAAAGAAAGTAGCAAAACAAAACAAAACAACGACACATATTTATAATTGGATAAATTTAGTCGTACTAAAGAAAAAAAATGCTTCTGAATGGAAAGGGAAGGGAAGATAATAATGAGATAGTGAAAAAGGAGAGACTTTTAAGATCTCAATTTCTCTCTATTGAAAGATCAAATGCAAATCTTGACTTCAGTAATTTTTAATTCTGAATAGTGGATGGAGAGTCAAATGGAAAAGGGGAAATATATAGTTATATTTCTATACATGTATCTTTTTAAGACCTGTTTGCATTCAAATCCACATACATTCATAACAACTTATTGGCTCACTCCTTAAAGGAATGAACAAATATTACTTCAGAGCTCCTAGTCATTATTTTTGGGGAAACGTGGAATATAGAAGAAATCCCTGAGGCTTATCAAACAAGTATGGCTTTCTTTTAAAAAAGGGAAAAGAAAGCATGAACCAAGAAATGACAGTGTTGACATCTAGTACCTGGGAAGATTGCAAAAGAAATCACCAATTCCCAATCATCTAGAAGAGCTCAAGGCATTACATTGCAACCAACATGGTTTTGTGAAAGAAAGTGATACGAGGCAATTTAATTTCCTCCTACAATAGAGTGACAGGCCACAAAGATAAGGCGGATGTGATAAATGTAATCTGTTTTGATTTCAGGAAGGCTTTTGCCTCTGTTGCATATGACATTCTCATTTATAGGCTCAGAAAGCATAGTCTTGATATTTTACTGTTAAACAGGTGGATCTCACGCCTGAAGGCTACACATAAAAGCTAGTTAGCAGTGGCTTAGCATTAGCTAAGAAAAGGCAGAATGGTGAAATGGGTAGGACATTGGACCTGCAGTCAGGAAGGACTGAATTCAAATCCTTGCTCTGATACTTATTAGCTGTGTGACCTGAGGCAAGTAATTTTATTTTTCAATGTTCTAGTCAGCTATTCAAGAACAGGAGTTGCAAAGAAGATGTGGATTCCAATTGCTGATAAAGAATAAAAGGAGGAATGATCTAAAGAGAAATGTATAAATGTACCAGAAACTCACTGAGGAGTGTAATGTTTAAAAGACATGTTCAAGAGATGGGAGCAAAGGTGGTTAACTGATGTCAAACTGGAAGAATGGCATGGCCCTCGAAGCATAGTATTAGGAACAGGATAAGATGAAATTAGCAATAAATACTGAAGACTGTATAAAGGACTTTTTTACAGTTATTTTGGGGGCAAGAGAATTATCAAAGAAGAGATAAGATCACTAGCTTGACAGTGTCTGGAGTTGAAATGATACCCAAGTGTCATGACTCCAGTCTTAGGAATCTATTCCTTAAACTTTGCAGTCTTTCAAATTAGAGGTGAGTAAAATGCTTTACTTTCTGGCAAAGTTCTAGGATACTTTTTAAAGGGATATTTTGTGAGCATTTAGAAAAGGAAGCAATGTTTATTAGGAATTAGCATAGAGTCATCAAGAAAAGGTCATGCCAGATTAAACTTGTTTTCTTTTGTGACAGGACTATTAAGTTGGCACATCAGAGGAATACTATAAATATAATATACCTTGCTTTTTTAACAAGGCATAGGCCAAAATCTCTAATGATATCCTTGTGGGCATGATGGAAGGATGCAGGTTAGATGATCATGAAGTGAATTGGGTACTGTTAGTATAACTAGACCAAAAGAGAATATTGATAGATTATAGATTACTGTTAAACCTGGAAGGAAGTCTCTAGTGGAGTGTCCCAGTAATCCACTTTGGAATCACTCAGGTTTTTATAAATTATTTGGACGATGCCATAGAAATATAGTAATCAACTTTGCAGGAAGGGATGGCTAAATACATTGAACAATAGAGTCAAGACCCCCCAAAAAAGTAGTAGACTAGAATAATGGTCTGATTTTAATAAATTGAAATCCAATAGGAATAAATGTAAAGTCCAGCACTTATGTTTGAAAAATCAACTATGCAGGGGCAGTGAGATGGCACAGTGGATAGAACATTGGCACTGGAGTCAGGCGGACCTGAGTTCAAATCCAGTCTCAGACCAGACACTTGACACTTACTAGCTGTGTGACCCTGGGCAAGTCAATTAACCCCAATTGACTCTCAAAAAAAAGAAAAAAAAAAGAAAAGTCAACTATGAGAATAAAGGACTGAAGAATTGTGACTAGACAATTCTTTGTATAAAAAAAAGATATTGGAGTTTCAGTGGACTACAAGCTCAATATAAATCAACAGTTTAACAGAAAAAAAAGAAATTTATTATAGTTATATATATACATTTATTATATATATATAAATGGAAGGGCAAATTGTACATAATAGATTGTCAGTTTCATGCGCAATCTTTTTTTAAATTATATCATGTTATGTAAAGGCTTGTTTTATCCCATAAAATTAAAATAAAATAAAATAAATCAACAGTTTAACAAGACCTAATGTGAAGAAAGGTCCAGAATGAGGGAAATATAGCCTCATTTTACTTTGCCCTGGTGAAACTACATTTGTAGTGATGTGTTAGGTCTGGGAACAATTTTATGAAAGATACTGACAAAGTAGAATATGTCTTGAGGAGAATAATCGTTGATTAGAGGATGGGTGATCATTCTATGTGGCAGTCAACTGAAAGAACTCACTATTTAAGTTCAGAGTAGATTTGGAGAGGAAATTATAGCTATCTTCAAATAGTTGAAGGACTTTCATATAGAAAAAGAGATTAAATGTGTGCTTCTCCCCAGGTGAAAGAAATAGGAACAATGGAGGTATCTTTCAGGGAAACAGATTTCAGCTCAAAGTAAGGAAAAGTTATTAGCAATTAGAAAGATCCAGAATTATGGAAGGGGTTTCTTCATCATTGGAATTCTTCAAGCAAAGACTGGAAGTCCAGCTATCAGTGATGCTGTTGCAAATATTCTTGCTTAGGTATGGATTGGACTAGATGACTTCTCAGGTCACTTTCAACTCTGACCTTATGTGATTTTGTGAGGAAAGTTTCAAAGGAATGGATATATTGCAGATATACAAAAATATGACACCAATAGCTACCAACCCATATGTTTCCTTTATTATCTCAATAAACAACTTTAGGAAACTGGTTTCTATATTTATGTCAAGAACATCTTCGATAAAAGCATGAGAATGGAATAGACAATTCAGTGTGGTAAAGTGTAAAGAGCACTGGATTTATAGTCAAAGAATCTGGATTTGAATCCTGGCTCTATCACATAATAATTGATAATGATGCAGTTTCCTTCCCTGTAAAATGGTTGAATTAGATTAAAGGTTCTCAACCTGGAGTCTGTGTGCTTATTTCTAAAAAAATATTTTGATAACTTCATTTCAATATACTTAGTTTCCTTTGTAATCCATGTATTTTATTTTATGCATTTAGGAACATTATTCCGAGAATAAATCCATAGGCTTCACCAGATTGCCAAAGAAGTCAATGACACAAAGTTAAGAACTCCTAGACTAGATGATCTTTAAGATTTCTTCCCCTACCACATCCATGATACTCCAGCTGCCTAGAATCACAGATTTTGACAGTTGGAAGGGACCTGAGTTGCTAACTCATACAACCTATTGGACTACAACCATTTCTTTAAAGTCACACAGTGATTATGAAAGGCATGATATGCATGTATATTATTTATTTATTTTTCCCAAGCATGTAATTTGATAAACAACATATAGCCTTGAAGGTTTGCCTTCAATGATATGCTTCCCATGCATATGTAACAATAATGAAAGACTATGATGGATGGGTGTGATTTGGGGGTAATTATGTTCAATAATCTTCTTAGTATTGACTTCATAGAAGATGTAAGATAGGGTGACATATGAGCAGAAGTTTTTCCCCCTGCCATCTTGGAAGATATCCTAGAGTCTCCCAAACCCAAGAGATTATTCTTGATAGTAATTTTAAATGCTCTGTTCACATTACATTATACTTATTGCATGAAGCCCTGAAATAATACAAAGTCTTCTTATTGGAATTTATAATGATACGAAAGATATTGGTCTAATTATCAACAGCTCAGAAACAAAGTGAATGAATATGTATATTGCAGCAAGATGGGCAGTTGAGTTAATCCAGCAATATGTGTCTTGCACAAACAAAGCAGATGGGCAATGGTTTGGGTTCAGAATTGGGTAGGAAGAGGAGATTCATTTAAATCACATTTGGAAAGCTGCACAATGCTCTCATTGATCCAAAAACGTTTGTTGCCACAAATATTCCTTTCATTCACAGTAATTTTCTTTGTGATTCTATCTAGTTATAAATTTGGTAATAGAACAATATGATTTGAGAAGAGTCAAAATTATAAGTAACCCAAAGGGCAATGCTAAGGGTAAGGGTACCCCAAGTATACATATCCCGAAAACTTTTGGTGCTGCTGACTTGTAAGAAGTCATGTAAATAGAGAAAATGGCCTTAAAGGAAGTAGGTCAGCTACATGGGAGAGAATTAGAAGCAGCAGATAGGCAGTGCTAAAAGAAGCAGAGAAAGGCCTCCGGTGTGTTATGTGGAAACGTGGAAAGTCACAGACAAGAATCACCCAGGATAAGAAGTTGTAGAGAGGTGACCTGCATTGGCAGAAAATATCCACATTATTAAAATCATCCATATGCATAAAGTATCAATGTAGAAGCATACAATGATAATGTACAAAATATGACCTAGAAGTTTTCTTTGTTGTAATTAAAACGAACACCTTTAGGGTCAGCTGAGGAATATAAGCCACACATCTTTTGAAGGGTCTTGGAGAGAGCTTTGGGTCCACAGAAGAACACACCAATGTTACTGCTGTAGTAAAGACAAAAACAAGAGAAGTGTTAGAAGCTTCAAGGCTAGCTCAGGATTGTAGTGTGAGGTAGATGAAGTTTGTCTTCACTTCTCTATTTCTCTTCTCTTCCACTTTTGCCTAACTTTTAGGCTCCCCTCTTCGACCTAGACTTTCTACAATTATGCTCTGGGTTCTCTCTTGTCATTACAGAGAGGAAACTAATTTGATAAAAACCAATTCCTATTAAGGAATTATTGATTTAATGTGTGCTTCTTTCTAGGTTTATTTGCATTTTTAAAAGGACAAAGTGAAAGGACAATACTTGATGTTGGAATGAAAAAAAAAAGAGAGGCTAAAAGAAAAAAAAAATTGCTGAAAGGAATGGATCCCAATGGTGAAACTTGTACATCAGAATGGATGAAGTATTTCCCGTTACCAAAAACAGGAAGCTAGACCTAGTTAGTTGTGGAAAGAGGAAGGCAGAAGCTGTTGCCAGTTGTCCTGAGTAGAGCATCAGCCTGGCACTCCCATGCTTGGGGTTCTAGGATCCAACACATAAAATAAAGAAGAAGTAGAGTTTTGATGATGTCATAGATTAGCTCATCATACGATTTTGTCAACACCCTTGAAGAAGGGAAAGCTAGAGAGCAAGCTAATGGAGACTTCATTGTGAATCACCACAATTGTCAGGGTCTGGTATTCCTGGACGGCACCATGGATAGAACTCTGGGCCTGGATTCTCTGTCATCCTTGAATCCAACTTCCCTCTCCTTCAATCCCTATATGCAGTCAGTTGTCAAATCTTGTCAATTATACTTTTATGACAATCTCATATCCATTCTCTTAACTCACATGGTTAAGGGTTAACATTCCTAGTTATGGCCCTCATCATCTTTTTCTTGGACTATTACAGTTTTCTCCTCCTGGTTTCCTTGTTTCCACGCTCTCCCAATATAATTCATTCTCCACCCCTAACATCCTCTTCCACCATGCCTCCCAGACACCAGATTGATATCCTTCAAGCATAGGTCTGACCATATCATTCCCCTTATAGAGAACCTTCAGTGACTATTATATCTGGAATGGAATATAAAAGCCTCGATTTGGCATTTAAAACTCTTTGCAATCTGATTCCAACATGTCTTTTCAGACTGACTTCCCAGTCTGGATTACTCCTGCTATATTTCATCCAAATTTGTCTTTTTAATACATCTCATTCAACCCCCCCCCCTTTCCATGCCTTTTGCATAGGCTGTCTCCCCAGCCAAGAATGTACTCTCTCTTTGCCTCTGCCTCTGAGGGTCACCAATTTCATTTAAGGCTCAATTCAGGATCTCCAGACTACCCAAAGCCTTTCCTCATCTCTCCAGTTGTTAGTGCTCTCCCATCAATTTCTTTGTATTTACTTTGCACGTATTTTGTATTGACTGATTGGTGTGAAAATGTATGCATATGAAGCCCTCATTCCCTAATTGGTAATTCAAGTACTACTGTGCTTGACCCAACCCATGCTCTACACACACCCATGACTGTACACATGTTGATTTACTCCTATAGAATGTAAATTCTTTGAAGGCAAGCGCTATTTTGTTTTTGTATACTCAGTGCCTAGGACAGTGCCTTCTATGTAGTGGGGACTTAATAAATATTCAGTGAATTAATGATGGAATAAATCAGTGACACTAAAGTTGGAAAAATTATCAGTAATTGAAGAATGTTGAACAAATTGTGACATGTGAATATAATGAAAGATTATTGCTTTGTAAGGACCAATTAGTAAGGAAAAACTTAGAGAAACATGAGAAGCCTTGCATGAAGTGACACAGTAAAGAAAGAAGAAAAAAGTATAATACCCAGAATGACTGCAACACATACATGAAAACAATTCTAAAAGGCAACAAAACTCAATTTGAATTCAACTGACAGTGTTGGATACAAAAGATTAAAGAACTCATCCTTTCTGTTAACTGTGATCTATGAAGATGTAAATAAGGATTCTCGGTTGCAATCATTCTGTTAGGAGGTATTGCTTAACTGTTTTTATATGGAAAAGTAGGGTTAGTTCAATTCTATTCTATGGAACAGTCTTCTCCCTGTCCTTGGCCTCTTTGTGCTTTCAGAGGAAAGGAGAAAGGACAGAAAGACCATTGGATGTGATTTCCTGCCTTAAGGAAACTCACCTCTAGAATCAAATATAAAATCCGCTGTCATTCAAAGGCCTTCATAAGCTGGTCTTTTCCTATTTTTCCAGTCTTCCTTAACCTTACTTACTTAATATACTCTGTAATCTAGGGACATTGATTTCTTTGCAATTCCTTTCACAAGACACCCCATCTACTGACCATTTTCACTATCCTCCATGCCTAGAATCCTCTCCCTCCTTATCTCTGCCTCCTGGCTTCCCTGGTTTCCGTCTAACTAAAATCCCATCTTATCTGAGAGGCCTTTCCTGATCCTCCTTAATGCTAATATCTTTCCTTTGTTGATTTTCCCCAGTTTATCTTGTATATGTTTTGTTTGGACATAGTTGTTTTCATGTTGTCTGTCTCATTAGACTGTGAGCCCCTTGAGAAGCGTGACTGTCCTTTTGTCTTTGTTTATAGCCCTGGTGCTTAGCACATAGTAGGCAGTTAATGAATTCTTCTTGACTTGACTTAAACATTTTATTAAATATCAGTTATATTATAGATACTTTGATAGACACAGAAAATACAAAGAAAGGAATGAATTTTAAAAGTTATTTTTTTTGGCACAAGTCAAATTATAGCTGTGTGCCCCGACCTGTTGAATATGACCACCCCTGAATCAGAGGTTGTGGGATATTTTGGAATAGTGAGGTCTTCCTTGTATCCCCCAAGTCATACCAGGTAAATTACTGTCCACTCTATTGATATAGAAGGCCACCCTTTTAAATTGGTTCCAGTTGTCTGTGAGTATCATGGAATTAGGAATTCTAATAATCATAGTGGTCATATTTTAGCTCATCTCGGAAGTGTATGAAACTCTCACAGAGTTTTGATTCATGTTACATACTTATGGAGTTTCTCTGGTTGATTTCTATGGCACCCTCAAGATCCAGGGCCACAACACTGTAGCCACTCTATAGTGGAATTTTTAGAGTCTATAGCAACTTCTCAAATACTGCTCTTTATTATTGCAGTAATTGGCTTTTTGCAAGGAAATACTTATAGCCCAAACCATTCCAGTATATGTCTCAACACATTCTTCCTCATTTAACTGTATTCCAATTATTATTATGCCTCTGAGAGTCATTAATAAAAGGGAATACTTCCAGGACATGACATCTGTGACAGGAACTGATGGTTCAACACAATTTCCAACCCTGATTTCAAAGGTACCTTGCAAAAGGTAATTACAGTAATTTATAATTACAGTACATTTAAACTAATTTCCTCTCTCAATTCTAACCGCTACTTGAAAAGTCCTCATCCCCATGGCAAAATTCCAGAAAATTCTTTTTCAAAAAAGATGCCCACTAACACAGACAACTATTTTATTCAATAAAGTTGTTCCAAGGTGTATATGCTCTCTGTGCCAACTCCTACTTTCTCCACACCCAGATAAGACTTACAGGGATGAATAGGGCTGGAATGAGTCATTGTTATTACAAGGTGCCATACCCTGAGGTTATTAGAACTCTATGTGGTTTAACATTTAGTTAGTTAATAGTGCTATTCTCTCACAAGCTCCCAGCTCCTTTCTTTGGACAGCCATATTTAAACATTTGGCATAGTGTTAGGTGGATAAACAAGTTTAGCTTTTGTATTTTTTTTCAATAGCCTTTGTATAATTAGCATACTAATACAAGATCAAAAGTCAACAAATATCATAAGGGAAAGATGAAAAGAATACTAAAAAGAGTGTTCAAGGTCTATGGAAAGTGTAAGGCTAATTGTGGCACTTGGAACACCAGAACCATGAATCAGCCCAAAGTGAATGGTAGCCTCATCAATTTGATCAGGAGCACTCCTGATTGGCCCACTCCTGACAAATGGTACCTCAGATAGCAGCTCTAAGTCTGCATAGCTTTATTATTGACCTTCAGATTTAGAGGCAATGCCAGTGATAGGGATGCTTTACCATATGTATAGTTGGCTCCTAGGACTGACTACCTCCCTATGCCTAGGTTAACACCATTCTATGTTTTGTATTTGTAGTCACTATTTGCAGAGTCTAATGAGCTTGGATGTTTTTTTGCCTCCAGAATTCACTTAAAAATATTGGGGCAGCTAAGTGATTGAGTGGATAGCGTGTGAATCTCGAAGTCAGGAATGACCCAACTTCAATATCTACCTCAGATACTTACTATCTGTTTGACCCTATGCAAGTCACAACCTCTCAGCCTCAGTTTCCTCATCCATCAAATGGAGATAATAAAAGCATCTATCTCACAAAGTTGTTGGGAGGATCAGATGAGATAATGTATGTAAAGCACTTTATAGACCTTAAAGTCAATATATACATGTATATGTGTGCATATATATACATATATGTGACTATATATGATGCTAACAGTTATATTTATATGACTATTAAAATACATTTTACTAGTGACTGTTGTTTTTATATCATAGTCATAATTTGTCTTCTCAGTCCAGATTCATTTTTCAAAGGAACTATACCAATTTCAAATGCTAAATACCAGTCTCATCTGTATACCACTCATTTCATTCAAGGTTCAAATCATTGACCATTTTATAAGGGAGACTTTCCTGATCCCACACACTGTTACAGTACCCTCTTTCTCATCAAATTACCTTGTATTTATTAAATTATTGCCTCTCCCTTCCCACCCCCTAATGTAAGCTTCTTGAGGACAGGACTGTTTTTAATTTTGTCTTTGTATCCTCAGAGCCTAGCATACTTGGTGCCCTGCATGTAGGGTGCTTAAAAAAATAAGTGGAGGACTGAAGTTACTTGAATTGCTTCCCTATAGTTCATAACTACATGATTACATTTAAGGCTATAGTTTATATACTCTATAATGTTTATGCCATCA